GAAAGGAGGGTGTAGAGAGGCGGGGGTCGGTCTCTTTTCTCAAGTCACAGGCAGTGGGACAAGAGGAAATGGCCTCAAGTTGCGCCAGGGGAGGTTCAGGCTGGATATTAGGAAAAATTTTTTCACTGAAAGGGTTATCATACATTGGAATGGGCTGCCCAGGGAAGTGGTTGAGGCACCATCCCTGGAGGTGTTCAAAAGACAGGTTGATGTAGTGCTGGGAGATATGGTTTAGTGATGGTGATGCTTCTTGTTTGTTGTGCGGGTGTCTGTTTTTGTCAGTTAGGTTGATGGTTGGACAAGATGATCTTTAAGGTCCCTTCCAACCTAGAAGATTCTGTGATTCTGTGATTGTTTAGTCTGGAGAAAAGCAGGCTGAGGGGAGACCTTACCGCTCTCTACAGCTGCCTGAAAGGAGGTTGCAGCCTGGTGGGGTCTGGTCTCTTCTCCCAAGTAACAGGTGCTAGGACAAGAGGAAACACCTGCAAGTTGCACCAGGGAAGGTTTAGGATGAATATTAGGAAAAATGTCTTCACTGAAAGGGTTATCAAGCACTGACACAGGTAGCCCAGGGAAATGATAGAGTCACCATCCCTGGAGGTATTTAAAAGACAGGTAGATGCTGAGGGACATGGTTTAGACATAGTTTCAGCACTGTTAGGTTAATGATTGGACTCGATGATCTTAAAGATCTTTTCCAACCTAAATGATTCCGATTCTTCTGCAGTAGGGGAAATGCAGCACATTTCAGGATTTATGATAACACACACTGGTGTTCCAATGAGGGCAAATCACTGAACATCTGCCTGCTCTTGGACTTCTCACGTCTTTTTCAGTGAAATATCTGATTCTGGCTGCGTGAAGAAACTAGATTAGACTAGATGTATGGTTCTGATGAACTTCTAGCAAATTCATACCTTTTTGTCTTGAACTATTAGGTTTAGAGGCAGTTTAACGTAGGGCTTGCAATACAATGGCCTGAAACGGCTCCTACTTGAACTGATGAACTTGGGACTGTTGCCATTGACGTGAACAACAGGAGATAGACCAGGCTTTATAGACTTGCAGCGCAGTGTATCTGAGAGGACTGCAACACCTCTTTTTGTTTTTGCTGACATGCATTTGGTTCATGTCAGCACAGGAATAACCAATGCTTGGCTGCTTTGCTTCATGTTTTTGTCTTTTTGGGGTTTTACGGTGAAAAAACCCAATAGCAAGCGCAGTGTCAAAGCAGGCAACCGTGAAGCAAAACCCACCATACCCTTAGCGGGGGAAATACGATGAAACCACCCATGAGAGCAGCAGCACCGGCGCTTTCCAGGGGCTCGGCGTTCCGGGCTGCAGTTTCACCACAGGCCGCGTTCCGCCCGAAGGCCCCGCCGGCAGCGCCCTCCGACCCGGCTCCCCGCAGGCCCCCGTCCGCCCGGGCCGCGGCCGAGGCGGCGAC